TATATATATATGTTTTCTATTTATATTCCATTTAACATCTGGACTTTTTAGGGGTTCAGTAAATCATAAGTTTTAATTGCATCATTTTGCACATAACTTTCCATTTTTTTTCTTCTGAATTTTGGGTGCAATAATGTCTAGCGTCCCATAGCTTCTATAACGTTGATCCTACAATTAAAAAAATACGTAAATGTATAAAATGAATGAATGGAAGACTAAATAAGATAATTTGAGTACACCGCGTGCATACAGCTGCACTTTCAGCGACCGACGAGGAAACTGTTGCTTATTTTATGAGAAATATTCATTGATAGATAATCCACATGTCCGCCAGATCATCTAATGGTGCTTTCCAATCTCCTATCCTAATGCATACCTTAATCAAGTCCTGTTTTTAAAAGCTGCAGACTTGGAGAAGCGGGTTATCATCAGGCCGCGTGAGCCGCTCGTCAAATCTGCCGGGAAAAACCCACTCGTTTCCATCCATGAACTTCCCATAACATCATTCAGCCAATCAGAAGCCAGAGTAGAGGCTCACGGGTAAACGTAGTTTATATAACATTACACGTTAATTTCTTATAATTATTTTATACATTATGTTTTTTTTGTATCGTATCGTATTGTATTATTATTATTATTATTATTATTTTAGTTGAATACCAATTCTCAATATGTCTAGCACCGTGCCACAAAACATAAAATAAAGAGCACATACAAGTGTGGTAAATAGAAAAATGAAAATATAACAAATAAATAAGTGCGGTGACTTCCGTTGTAAAACAAACATAAAAAGGGTTAAAAAAAAAGGTAGTGATTACCAACTTCTCAGAAAATTCTCAGTGCAAATTATGTATTTTATTTTTAATTACTATACAGTGTGGAATTAAATTAAATTAATTATGTAGTAAAACTGTAGCTTTGGTTTAATATTGTGTTTTACTTATTTAAAGCGCGCGCGCACGCACACACACACACACCAATTAATGCATAACATAGTAAACACACAGTGTCTCATTCTAGTAATTACCGTCAACAATCACGGATAACCACAAACCAATAAATATAATACAATAAATTCAAACAAATACGTTGAAGTGTTTTTAAAAATGCAAACTTTTATTTTGACACAGTTGTATTGACCGGAAGTAGCGCGCTAACGTTCTATAAGCCCGCTTTCGTTCTGTGGGTTACCATGATAACGTTATACAGACTCCGGGGTCTGTTAATATCTCACGGATTTAAACACGCAACCAAATTGATATCAAATGAACAACTTCTTAACGTCGTCTTACTTCCGTGTTTCGCTTCAGGAAGAGCTGTCAGCTCTTACAGGAAAGACATTCATGGTGTTTCTCACCGTAAAGCAGTTAAAGGACACTTGACTCTGAACTCTTTCAGCACTGTCACAGTCAACAGACTCTGCTGGAAATGCGGATCTTCAGCTCAATTCTTTTTCTGTCCGTCCTGTAATGTGATCCAGCCTCCTGATGACAAGACGAATTATTTTGACCTCTTGAACTGGTGAGTTAGCTGGTGGTTGGGTTGATATATCATTGTTGTAGTAATGAATGCATTCCCGGATGTTATTCTGTGCCTCCTTGGTCCTGAGCTTATAAAAAGTTGCTTTCTTTACTTACTTTTATTTCTCAAAAGCTACAACATTGTTGTCACATATAGTGTATATGATATAGCCTAGAAGTTGCTGTTACATGATCTGAGTTAATCACACAGATACAGGTTCACAACTGTACACTTCTTGGTTTCAGAAAGAAATGATTTCAGAGCTCATGTTTGGAGTAGATTTGAAATGTCATTGTATTTCAGCTTAAAGCAAACTGAATATGTTTGTCTCTCCTCAGTGAACAAACATTTTCTTGGGACACCCAGAAACTTCAGCAAAGATATGTGGAGCTGCAAAGAGCTGTCCATCCTGATAACTTCAGCCAGAAATCATTGGTAACAGACTATATTATACAAAATTTGTTATATTCCATACAGCCGTACCACACTGCACTATGAATATTAAAAGTGGATGAGCATTTATTGCTTGGAGATACTGTAGGGATGCTATACTATATATATATATATATATATATATATATATATCTATATATATATTTTACCATACTTTCAAAACAAAAATTAAAATAGGAAAAATATGAAAATAATTGAAGACAATGTATTTTACTGAGAAAAAACAAGATTTGGTTTTTAAGGCCTCTGGAAAAGGGGGGTCGTCTTATAATCAGGGTTGTCTTATATTCGGGCCAATACGGTGCTTCTATGCTTAACGAATCACTCCGCTATCATTGACTGTCAGGCGACATCTTGTGACTGAAAACACTTAACCACCGTGTGTTACAATGGAAGACTTCAGCATTAATTTCAACATATATGGAAAAAACAAATCTTTTTAGCCGTGTAATAAGCGGGATAATGTACATCCAGCCAGTTGTTATCTCAGAATAAACCCCTTCAGGCTGATACAAGACAAGTCCTGATCACCCTGTCGGGTTTATTCTGAGATAACAACCGGCTGGATGTGCATTATCCCTTACTTAATTTTTAATTTTAACTTTAATTTAATTGATAATATTTAAAAAAATATATTTTATAGAGTTATGCAATTAGAAATTAAACCAATTTATAACAATGTGAAATTTTATATTAAGGGGTCATCGGATGCTACATGCACTTTTACAAGTTGTTTGAACTGAAATGTGTGTTAGCAGTGTGTGTTTCAAACAGAGAAAAGACATTTATTTGCTTTAACCCCAACCAGCATAACAAGGAATAGACTTTAAATGTACAATAAACATAAAGGAAAATTAAAAACTTTGAAGTAATAATACAAATGAAATCACCAATGGAAATGATGAAGAGAGCACAAGTGTTGCCAGTTCAAATAACCAAATAAAACAAAACTGGTGAAAGATAACAACAGTAAATATCCAAACATATCAGATCAGATCGTAACACTGTGTTTTGAAAGTCACCGGCTTCTAACCCTTTTGCTTTGCATTATATGTTAAACTTTGTACAAGCACACTCTCAGTATCCCTTGTCCATATCTATTTAGATGCTCAGGTAAAAGGTATGCAGCAGATCATCGTTCCTATAAGGCAGCAGACAGTTCTTTGGTGATTGGTTCATGCTTTGCGAGTCCAATTGGGTTTCCTGACAGCAACACCAAGCCGGATGTTGATTCTCTAGGCTTTGGCAACTCTGACAGCTGAAAATGTTTCTCCTCTGCAAGTCATTTCTTTGGTTTCTCACCTCTTATTCCACCTGACGCCTCCCATCACAGCTCAGACCCTCTGCGTCCACCCACACAGCCAGATCCTTCAGGGAAAAAAACCCGACGCAATTATCAGCATTGCTGGGGTTTCGTTTTTTTTTGACGATTCTGCTCATTCCCAAGAGGAATTCCTTACCACAAACAAAGAACATGTCATGATATCTTAAAATAAATGTGGCGACAGTATTATATAACGCTAGAAAAGTTAGAAAACTTGTGCAGAGTATGACTCTTTTTGTATAATACTTCCTTTTTTACTTCATAAAAATCACAATCACAGTATTCTTCAGGTTGTTTCATATTTTGAGGCTTTGTGTATTTGTGCCTTTAGGGGCTGTTGAAATTGTTTTTGTAGCCCGTTAGAAGAATGACTTTAATCTGGAATGAATTTGTGGTCTGATCCTATTTACAGAAAGAGCAGCAATATTCAGAAGAACAATCAGCATTGGTGAACAAAGCCTACAGAACGCTGCAGAAACCTCTGAGTCGGGCCGTCTACATGGTAATTATTTGTTTAGTAAATATTTGTTGTGTATATGGCAGCTGTAGGTTATATACAGTGACCCCAAAAAACTTTTGGATGCATAAGCGATAAGCCACACTAAAACTGAATGCAGAGTATGTGCATTATATATAAAACAGAATATCAAACGAAGTACTGTGTACTTTTAAAGAAAGAAGCATAAACATTTCAGAAAAAGAGGTTTTTAAATAATAAAATAAGACTACAAATGTCAGAAAGAAACAGAAATACAGAAAAAAAAACTAACAATTAAGTAAAAAGCCAATGCCATATACATATTTGACTACTTTTTTTTTATTGTGAAATATTGTCAAATTTATGGTTTTAGCAAGTAAAATCTGTGAATTACCATATACTTTACAGTAAAAAAACACTAAGAAGACATTTCTTTGAAAAAGATGTTTAGTAACATTATAAATGTGTTTAGTGTCACTTCTGATCAATTTAATGCATCCTTGCTAAATTAAAGTATTAATTTCTTTCTATTTTTTATTTAGTAAAATCTTACTTATCCCAAACTTTTGAATAGTTGTTTATCACGGTTTCCACAAAAATATTCAACCTCGAAAATAATAGGAAATGATAGGAATGATGATAATAATAGGAAACGAATAAGGACCAAATCAGCATATTAGGATGATTTCTGAAGGATCATGTGACACTGAAAACTGGAGTAATGATGCTGAAAATTCAGCTTTGCGTCACAGAAATAAATGATTTAAAAATATATATTCAAATAGAAAACAGTTTTTTAAAATTGTAATAATATTTCACATGATTACTATTTTACTAAATTTTTCAAGTCAAATCAAAGATCATACAAATTCAGCCATGGTTAGTATAAGAGACTTCTTTCAAAAACACACACACACATACACACGCACACAAAAATAATTATTTTAAACTTTTGACCAGCAGTGTATATAGTTAATATTATTCTCTCAGGACACTTGTGTGCACTTGAGGAAAACTGACTTCATACATCCACTAAAAATCACATTCCAACCAGATCCTGCAGTGCAAATGATTTAGCAATCTAGTATAAAATACGGTAATATTTTATACAGGGGTTAAATTGGGCCGTGTGGGGCTGAGCCGCGGCACATGGCTTAGGCTGGTAACACATTAGTGAACATTCATCATATATGTTCAACAATATTCGGCTTAAAAGACACTCGGGACGGTTGACAAAATGTATCTGCACGTGTTCTTTTTAAGTCTTTTGAATTTTTTTTAAGACTATTTACTGTAATCACGCACTCCGCTTCTCAACAAATCCCAATTTAATATATATATATATATATATATATACACCACTTATTATATCAACCGTTGAAATTTTCTGTATTTTACACTTCAACATTTTCTATACACTTCATACAGAAAAATAGGTTCAGTTTATCTGTGGGCGCTAACTGAAAAACAGGCACTTTATTTGATCTATGACTACTGAATGTTTAGTAATTTTGATGATTGAACTTAAACTTATTTTAGTTACTAAGGTAAAATTTTTATTAGAAGATTTATATTTTATTTTATTTCAGCTTTATTTCAATTAACAAAACTCTGTAAAGTTAAAATACTGTGAAATTCTGCTTTGTGCAATTTCGTTTTGTTTGGTGAAATTTTGCCATGTAATATTTATATTTCATTATTGAATTGCTATTTGGATTTAATTTATTTTTATTCCAGTTTTAGTTTTAGTTCAGTTTTAATTTATTTCCAGTTAGTAATTTTGATTATTCAATTTGTATCAAACTTATTTCAGTTACAAAGTTAAACTTAAAAGTACAGTTAAGTTCTGTTTAGTTTAATGTTTATGTATAATATTGATTAACCGATATTTTATTTCAGCTTTATTTCAATTAACAAAAATGTTTAATACTGTAAAGTTTGGTTTAGTTTAACTATTTGCATCTAATAGGTTTTATTTTATTTAAGCTTTATTTCAATTAACAATTTTGTTAATTTGAAATTTGTTTGTCAAATATATTTTTAGTTAATGATAACCCTAGGCTGTTGCGCAAATGGTGCTATTGTGCACTAAATTTTAATACTTTAATTAAAAGAAGCTAGAAGTTAGTTCAAATCCCAACCCTATGTTTGAGCAATAATAATTGTGTGATGCTTGCATTATCAAACGCTGCTTATAACACATGCAAACAATCTTTTAGATGCCGTTCCATAAAGTATGTGCGACTTTCCCAAGAGAATACTTCTGCATTCAGCGTCAAACTGTGATTGGCTGATGCCACGTTTATTTACGTCCGGCCTATTGAGAGAACAGAGAAAACAGGAAACCCACAAAATGATGAAACTCTTATAAAACAAAACTGTCCAAGACAACAAGATTCATTTAGCCCGGTCCCCGGTTGAATCTTTAATGCTACTACTCGACTCGCAATCTCTGCGGTGCGCTTTGTGAAAAATGCGTCTTATTTCTCTCTAATGTGGGCTGATTCATTAAATTGCAATTGGAGCTGGATTTGTTCTAGATGATGGCATTACTCTGGACACACTGTCTGACATCAGTCTCTTATTAGATAGCGCTTTGACAATTTCTTTATTGCACCAGTTTGTACAGTTGCTTATGGTGTGGTATGAATTAAATTACATCATAACACACTTATCAATCTCGGATTTATGAATGTGTGTGTTTGTGTGAAAGGCAGCTTCAGGGAGGGAGAATCAAGGTGTGTGCATGCTGGAGCTGAAAATGCCTTCGTTGAGCTGTAGGGGGAAGCATGTCACCTCACTATGGAGGCTGTAGCTGAGCAGAAAACCCCTTTACAGCTGTAAGTCGTGTTTATGAAATGCTTGTTCTCAAGTATGCACATTCCTTTTGCAATGAAGAACATCATTTGAGTAGATTTGAAATTACTGTGCACTTTGATTTAAATCTGCATAGAAATGCATGCTTTTTAGTTCTCTTATGATGGTAAATCAATTACAAATCTCCAATTTTGTGCTTTTTCTTTCACTTCACAATCAGTGATTGCACACAGTTCATTAGTTGTGTTCACCAGGGCACGTATCACTATTGCTCACACTTATGGTTTTGTGGTATGTACATGACTGATACCTCAAACTGTTAAGCTTGTTGAGAAGTAATTTTCTAATTGATTGCACTGTTAAACTTCACTTGCCAGATAACAAAATGAGTGAAAAATAAATCCCACAGATGTAAAGTTAAGGTGGGTCCAACCCATGTGTACACTTTTAAAAAATGTTTCTAATTTTTACATAAAATGCTAAGATCCAAACAAGTTATCATATACAGTGAAAACTGTAAATGGTTTAACATTGCATTATATGTAATTTTATGGTAAAATACTGTCCAAAATTTTTTTTTTTTCAAAACACTTATAATAATTTACAGTATAAAAACAGTAAAAGGACATTCACAGAAGTCCCTATGACACAGCAGACATGATTATATTTCCATACGAAAAAGATTATAAAAATGCATCTAAGTTTCCTTACCATATAGTGAAAAACTGTAAATGGTTTAAAATCATATGTAATTTTACAGTAAAATGTTATTTGTTTTGCAAGTAAAAACTATGAATTACTATAATTCCATATAATACCATATCATATATCCCATGTGACACTTATTTATTTATTTAAATTAACAAAGCATTTTTTAATACTGTAAAGCTAGTGAAAACTGTAAATGGTTTAACATTGCATTATATGTAATTTTATGGTAAAATACTGTCAAATTTTTTTTTCAAAACACTTATAATAATTTACAGTATAAAAACAGTAAAAGGACATTCACAGAAGTCCCTATGACACAGCAGACATGATTATATTTCCATACGAAAAAGATTATAAAAATGCATCTAAGTTTCCTTACCATATAGTGAAAAACTGTAAATGGTTTAAAATCATATGTAATTTTACAGTAAAATGTTATTTGTTTTGCAAGTAAAAACTATGAATTACTATAATTCCATATAATACCATATCATATATCCCATGTGACACTTATTTATTTATTTAAATTAACAAAGCATTTTTTAATACTGTAAAGCTTTGTTTGCTTAATTCTGTCATCTACTATTTATATTTTATTTTCAGATTTATATCAATTAACAATTTTTTTTTAGTACTGTAAAGCTTTGTTTGGTTTAATTCTGTCATCTACTATTTATATTTCATTTTCAGATTTATATCAATTAACAAAAATGTTTTTAATAGTTTGTTTAATTAATGAAAATAACCCTGCATGGGCTGTTGCACAAATGTTGCTATTATGCTCTAAATTTTAATAGATTAAAATTTGAATCCTTTGTTGTGCACTAATATTTTAATAATTTTAATACTTTGTCTTAAATGTCAAGGGTTCAAATCTAAAAATATACAGGTTTCCATCCTGTAATGCTGGATCCATTGTCAGCAGATTTTTTTTTATTTTAATTTTTTTTACAATGAATATCTGGAAAACTTTATACTGTAAATTTAACAGAATATTTTTTTTACAGTGTAGAGACAAAAGCTCAGGAATAGGCTATTGTGACTTTTAGAAAGATGCCACCTAGCAACTTAGAACTCCATAGCAAATGCATAGAAATACCCTAGCAACCACCCTAGCAAAGTGCCGGCATATACAAATGCAAGAACCACTCTCTTTGACAGTTTTGAACCCAGCTTTGTCTAAGCTGGCACTGTAGAAATTACCACAAGTAGGGATGTGCCCGAATCCGAATACCGTGTTTGGAAAGGAAATGACGTGTACTGCGGAACCCGTAAAGCGAATAAATATGAGATGGGAAGAAAAAAAATATTTCAAAATTATGTCGTTGGGTAATTATACTGTATGAAAATTGCGGCCATCAAGGAGCCGCTATTGATATGCGGGGCATTGAAGTCGCTTTTGAATGCGCAATCGCTATTTACAAGATTAGATGTTTGTCAGTGGTGCTCAAGATTTGCAAATCATTCTCCATCATCCTATCAGTCATCTCTCCTTACTCTGTTTATGTGGTAAGTGAAATTTTATGAAATTTTTTATATTTAATGTAATGTAACAGGCTACCGAAGCGGCTAACCATGTCCCAGGCTCTGTAGAATGCGTTATT